TCCTTCCAATGAGGACGATATTTTATCCAGAGTCCCAGAAAGTGCAGACAATTTTTGGTCCATTACCTCACTGATACTTTTAGTCACTTCACGGACGAGGGCAGCTGTGTCCGCCGGAGGCGAAGGCTGGTCACCTGTTGCTGCTAGCACATCAGTTTGGCTAGCACTGGTAGTCATCGCGGCGGTCGCCATCTTTCGTGGTTGTATTTTCGTCTGTTTTGACATCGCTCGTTGTCCAATAAATGTATTCTACGGTGTTGCGTATTCGTAAAACGCCAATTCAATATATCCCTCGAAAATATAGACAGTAGCGCGTATTATACTGTAATATAGACGGATGGGAGCACGAGCAAAGTGAAAACACGTCTTCTAGCCCGCCATCTTCACCGGAAGCCAATGTGCTGATTTTAGCTGCGACGCATTATGGCGAAATATCTTTAGTTTGGTCCCACTGTACAGTCCTTAACTTTAACAGTTCCCATGCAAACTGAAGCTATGTTTCCATGCAGGTAAATTCCTTGATCAACTTTGTGAGAAAAACGGGTCGCCAGCTCTCGTCTCACGTCAGAGGAGTAAGCAGATGACTTGCAAAAAAATGAAATGGTAAGAACCAGCGGACGACAAAATTCCAGTTAAAAAGCGTGTAGCAATTTATTTACTGGCGATGGTGAAGACAAAAAAAAACCAAAACAAACAAAATACTTTCAAATAAAGAAAACAAAACCGGCCATTGCAGGCAATACAAAAAACTGACAGCCTCACAGCAAGCTGACATTAAATATAGTTTTTTAAAGCAGACCTTCCAAAGCAGTTTCTCCAACCAGCCCTCCAAGCAGCCCCCCAAGACATTGTGAGTATGCCCCTTAAATAGACCCACCAATAATCAGCCAATTGGGACAGCCCAACTAAACAGGAAGGCAAATCCCAAATAAACCACAGTTAACATTGTAGAAAAATAAATACAGACAATATAATCATTCATACAAAAACATACATATTTATGAAATAATTTAACCATACTAACATTACCATGCAAACAATTATTACACAAACCGAAATCCCACTTAACACCCCCGCCCCCTAATAGTCTTTTCCAATGCCCTGGGACAATGGATAAGAGACTGGCTCCGATGCGGTACGTGTTTCCACACGGACCAGTATGCTGACGGACTAAGGGAAGAGAAAGTGTAATTTGACTAGGAAGTTTTATTGCCGACTACGGAATGTATACTGATGCTGATGCAGTGGATACTTTCAGAGTTCGCTATGCTGGTGAGTAAGAAAAATGTTAAATGAAAGGTGACGTTGTAATTTCAGAACTAGTGTAAATTACCGGGTGAAATGTTTGGAACTGCCGCCGCCATGACGGCCGGTCTGTGGTGCATGCTGGGAAATGTAGTAAACGATGTGACGCTGTGTGTGATAGACGGCGGTTATACTTTGGGAACAGAGGGGGACAACGGCTCCGTTTTCACAAAGTTAAAAGATAGAATCCAAATACAATCTTTATATGAGCTTAAACCCAAATAATCAACTATGGAGTGCTTTTAGTTGCACCAGTCTTTATTTAGCACAGATCTCTCTGACAAACAGTACCTAGGGTTGTCATAGTCCCCAAAACAACTTCCAAATGCTCTGAATCCCATCACAATATTCTGATTGGCGTGATTATATCGCGCTTCTTTATTCCAAATACTTACGTCCATGCAAACATACCTTAAGACAAGAAAAAAAAAATAGTGGATGAAATTAATCACGTTTTTTTTTAGCTAAGCATCACAGAGACCGACTTTTGAGCGAAGTGTTCTTCCTCTTAAGATTAGGAGCTGTCCAAAATATGTTTAACATCTAAACGATCTTTCTTACTGTAGAGTGATGGCTATAGATTGGAAAAGGCGTTCTTAAATGTGCCTCCCGTGATGAGTAAATAGAGTCGATGGCTTCTGTTTGGTTTTTTCTCACGTATTTACGCCTTCCTATGGTCCAGATACATACAGATGTTAAAGCCAGATTCCTTTTGTAATGGTTATTAAATCAGTTCTGTTCTTATGGTAACTTTAAGCTGTATTTAAAACATGCCATATCCATTATGCCCTGATACTGCATGTAATCAAAGGTTCACCTCAAAGGAAGAAAGAAAAAATCCGCATGATTCAATTTTTCAGACTGAAGCCTTTCATTTCAATGGAATCAAATCCTATAAGTGAATGAAAGGCTCGTTTGATCAGAGCGAACACAACATCAGATAAATCAAACACAAAACTGTCAATAGCAGCAGTAAAATATGATAAAAACTGATGAAAAAAGTTTGTTTAGACCGTAATAATAAGAAGGTTAATCTCTCGGATGACCTGCAGTGAAGTCGCAGGAGTAATGTGCGCCGACAGCTTGGGGACGGCGGGGACACTGCACCAATGAAAGAGGATTGAGGTCGTAAAGAAATATTCTCAACGTGACAAATCATCCCACAGTCTGTGCTAATCTTCAGAGAAACCCAAACCCTAAAATTGATTTGTCTTTTAGCCTGTAATGAGACTGTCTTTCAAGATTCCAGTTTGCCAGCATGCAGGGCTTTTAATTAGCATATTTCCCTTCAGCTCACAGTGGCGAGGACACATTTCTTATACAACTCATCACCATTAACAAGCTATTGACAAGCGTCCCTCTGAAGATGGAGTCTGCCACAGATTGAGCTCTGGGTTGTAGAAAACCCACCAGCCAGCTCATGGCGGTAGCCCTCAGGAGCTGCGAGGGCCCTAAGTTTGTATTATTAGCTTAAGAGGTGATTTTAGTGAGGCTCATTATAATGACAGCCATTGCTCTCATTAAGCAGAGCCGGAGGGAACATTAACAAACAAATAGCATATCACTGAGGATGGGGGACAACACCTGAAACATTAGTAAACACAATAGAGCAGCTGGAGAAAAGTGACCCCTGACATTTGAAATGGTTTTTAAGGGTATTTAGCATTGCAGTAGGGAAGTTTAAATAGTAAATCAGTATCTTAACATAAGCAACACTGACAGTGATGAAATAATGAAGATTTGTCATTATGTTATAGTTCGTGCTTCCAAAACAGCCCTGAGATTAAACTCTACTGTTAGTCTGTCCGTAGTGTCTGACGAAGCTGAACGCCTCACTGCTTAGGATGTCAGCTATCCACGTACACACAAAGGAGAACTACCAGCATAAGTTTTTAAGCAATTGTTTAAAGATTGTGTTTAAACCAACAGTAAAATCAAAAATCACTTTAAATCAGTGTTTGTCTTTTTTTTCCGTCCAACTATAATGCAGCTGTTTTGTGAGGTAGATTTACACTAGAATAAACGATTACACTAATACACTAATACAGCCCAGAAAACTGCTCTGGATAATAGAAAAGGGACCATATTTTCCATACATTTTGCTCAATGTTATCAATTTGTTTTTTTTTTTTTTTTTTTTAGCACTAAGCTGTGTGTCCTCTGAGAGAAAAGATTTTGCTTCTATTCAGAACAAAGTGTAAATGTGTGCTAGTGACATGCTTCTGCTAAAGTGCACAAAAAACACATTTTAAACAGTCCTTTAGAAATAAGAGTTGAATGAGTTACAAAAAAATATTAAAAATAAGCAGAAACTGATGAAAAAAAAGAAACCAAAACTCCAAACAAACCTCAAGGGCCATCAGAGAGCCTAGGAAATATTTAATGAAAAATATCTTAATAGAGAACCCTACCAATGATCAAACAGAGCACTTTTCCTCCTACACAAAAACCTTCCTTAGAACGGCTCTTTAAACCAAATTAAGTGGATTTTGAATTCTATTTTAGATTTTTTTTCTTGGTTTGAAGCATACAGCTCTGTAGGAAGAGAACCCAGGGATCCAGGTTCCATAAGTTAGTGATCTCCTTCAGGTTCATGTCCAGCCACCAGCTATTTTACTGGATCTCCTTATTTCACATCATATAAATAGGTACTTATGATTAGACTGCTTGATTATCCATTTTAGTTTACTGTCAAATCCTCCTTCTCACATATAAAGCCTTAAATCAGAGATCTGATTGTTCCTTATGTTCCTAACAGAGCACTTCGCTCTCAATCTGCAGGTTTACTAGTGGTTCTTAGAATTTCTAAAAGTAGAATGGGAGGCAGATCTGTTAGTTATCAGGCTCCTCTCCTGTGGAACCAACTACCAGTTTTAGTCTGTGAGGCAGACACCCTGTCTACTTTTAAGGGTAGGCTTAAAACTTGTCTTTTTGATAAAGCTTATAGTTAGAGTGGCTCAGGTTATCTATCTCTATAGTTATGCTGCTATAGGCTTAGACTTCTGGAGGACATAGGGACCTCCATTTCATCATTCTGCTTCATTCTATCTCTATTCTCCTATTCTGCAGAATCTGTTAGTTCAATCTCTGACGTTATGCTCTCTCTGCTTTTCCTCAGAGTAGCTTTGCCTCGTCTGTTCCTGTTTGGCTGTGACGCCATCCTGGAGAGAAACATCAGCTGTGCTGCTTCCATCAACACCCTTGTTTATAGATGCCGTTTTCCAGTGCGGTCCTGTTTCTCTGACCGTGACTGAGTGGATGTGCTCTCTTCGTCCTCTGGCATGGGAGCTGGCTCGGAGCTCGTCTGTCTGGCTGTGTGTTTCCTGGACGGGGCCGCCTTTTATAGCTGCTTTTTGTATCTCTACTTCTGTCTCCTTGAACCCCAGTCGGCCTCAGCAGATGATTTTATACAGTTTCTGTGATAGAAAGATGCTAATACACCTGTTAGATTTTCTAATGGGCTACAAAAACTGTTAAAATAATATACTGCTAGTGTTACAAAATCCACCTCATTGTGCTCCTTTCTGTATTGATAAGACTGTTATGATTGTATTTTCCACAACATCCTCAGGTAATTTGTTTCTTATGAAAGTGCAGATTTTCTCTAACCAATGCATACAATGAATTACATTTTGGCTGGCTTTAAACAGGGGTTAAAGCCAGCCAAAAAGAAGGATGTCCTCTAACACACTGACCTGTATCGTCTGTGTGCTCTGCAGCTTCTGGAGAGTCTCCTTCAGATTCTGGACTTGTGACTTTAGGTGCTGTTTGTCCTCCATACTCTTTTCCAGCTCAGCCTCCCGCTGCTTCAGTTCATCCCTCATTTTTAAAAGTTGCTGTGCAAACAACAGAGCAAACATTTAGGCACTAATGTTGCTCAGACCCAACCAACCATAAAAACACCAGGAGAGGACAAAAACAATTAAATTAGCACATTATACACATTACCATTAAGCAAGAGAACTGTACATGGGTAAACATTTATTACATTAAACCCATAATGCTAGTAATGAATAAAAACCTGGTAAAATCTAGAAAAAAAGCCAATTGCTTTAGAAATGCACCTTCAATTTGGGCAAGCAGTTTTTTTTATGAGAATCAAATGATACATTTCTCAAAACAAAATTTATTTTGTGAGATTTTTTTAAAAGAAATAAATAAAGTATAAAGAAAGAGGAAACACTATGAGTAGAATCAGCTTTATTGCCAGCTATGCCAACACATTAGAGGAATAAGACATAAATAGACAAAATGTGTGAACGTCTGCAATAGCAATAATACAGTGATAAAAAATGCATATTACATTAACTAAAAGGGATGAATAAAAACAATGAACCAGCAGTGAAAATGATGCAAAAGTAAACAAGTGATTATCAGTAAACTGCTGAATTAGACAGGAGTGAATCAATTTAGACTGCTGCTGCTCCTCTGCAGCGCGAAGGCCAGCGGAGCTCCAAGTAACACGTGTACAATCAATGTGGAAGTCAGACGACCAAAACAACTGCTCTTATGGTTTTTAAAAAGGTGAAAGAGATGTATTCTACCATCAGTGCATACAGCAAGCACAGAGAGGCTGTGCTAATATCAATGGATCTAATGTTTAGTAATTGGTCTAATGTGCACAGTTGCCTATATATACACAGACATATAATCATAATAGTTAAGCAGTCTTTAGTAAATTATTTTGAAAATCTGGATTCTGTGACTGCTCTGCCTCCTGTGGTAGAGATGTGATTTCTGTATATTTATTGCCGCTTTGTTGCGGCTAACGGCAAAAACAGAATCAAAATTAATTTGCAGGCATGTTGTTTGCTCTCTGCCACCCTACGCTACATAGAGGCTGTTTAAAGACTCTCATTGCAATAGCTGAACCGCATAAACTGAGGGTTAGAGTAAAGCTTGTGGAGAGAAACTGTTTCTGAATCTGTAGGTTTCGGAGTACAAGGCTCTGTAGCCCTACCAGATGGCTGGAGTTGGAACATTTTATGAATGGGTTGAGATGAATCTGCAGGGATATTTTCCTGCCAGTTCCCTGGCTCTGCAAATAGATAAATCCTTAATGGAAGGCATATCTTTCCTGTTTTCCTGACTAGCCGTTGTAAGCTGTCTGACCTTGAACCAAACCGGAGAGTAAAGGATGAACAGAGGTCAGACTGGATGACTGCTCTGTAGAACTGGACCAGCAGCTTCTTAAGCAGGTTGAGCTTCTTCTACATCTTCTAATGGACCTTTTTTATTACTCTGTCAGTGTTGCTACAGCACTTTAGGTCCTGGGATAGAATGGATCCCAGAAACATGAGGGTTTGCACAGCAGAAACATGGCTGTTGAATACTTCCATCTGAAGTCTATGATCATCTCTATTGCTTTCTGTGTATTCGGCTGCAGGTTGCTCTGGCTGCACCAAAGTGCTGTTTTCTAATATTATCTCACTCTCTGCACTTTAGATCTCTAGATTATTTCCATGCTTTATCTTAAACATTTAGATCTAGCACTGTGATGGCTTAAAAAAATGCTGCGCTTGTTTCCATTTGCGTTCATTTCAACATTTGCTTTGGACCTCTATCCAGTGAAATTATTTATTTACCACCAATTTTAAAAATTTTCTGTTTTTTATTTTTCTCCACCAGTCATAATTATCAATTAAAAGCTCCAGCAACATAAAGTAAGATCAATAAGTACAATTTCAAAGAAATGCTTAAGCTGCATTTGTTAAAGGGGTTAAAGAGAATTGTGTGATCTTGTTGAAAAAACGTTTTTTTTATTTTGAACGAATGGCTTTCAAATAAAGGTTGTATTTTTCTTAATAGTGGCAACATCATGATGCTGCTATAAACAGCTATTTTATTCAGAGAGCTTTTGAACGTCTTCATCAGAAGTGCCAATAGAGCAGCATATCTAAAACAAAACAAAACCACTTTAGTCTTTTGCCAAATATACAAAAGCTTTAGATTTTAAACATTTGCGAACAAAGACTGAGCAAATACGTTCCTGCTTATGATGTAATAAGAGAATTAGCTTTAAGTAAGCTTTAAAGAATCCACAGCCTCCAAAGTTATCTGTCGAGCACAGATTAAACGATCAGCCCCCTGTGGTGTTAATACTGTTTGCACCATCAGAAACTGAGAGCATCTACTGCTACATACACCGTACTGATGAGAGAGGGTTAACAAGCTGTCAATACATGCTGATAATGTTATAATGCAAATTGAGGACACTGTGGTGAAACACCTCGTGGACCCGGCCAGGTCGAGGTATCCAATTTCAGCACCTTCAAGCTCATTTAATCCACTCGCCTCCTCTTCTTCATAAACAGACCCGGAGAGAGATGTATGTTGGGAAGGTAATTACTCTCTGGATGCAGAAAAGAACCACGTATCCTTAATGGATTCTCTTCTTCTAAACTCCAGTCGATCATAATTTCCATTACTGAAAGAAGACGGCTGAGAGAAGACACCTGACAAACGCCAGTGCCACTTTACTTTTATTAAATCTAAATTTGAATGCTAAAGAAAGAGAACAGTTCTGTTGAAATGGTCCTATTATTCTGTGAAATACAGACATGGAAATATAGTCTTTATTAGGATTACTTTAGAAACCTTAAGAGAGTTTATGAAATGGCAACAAATCCTATATTATTAACAGATTTAAACTTTCTTTTTATTATAAATTCGACTTCTTAAAGAAATGTTCCAAACCAAATTTTTCACCATTATGAAGGTGATCAGAGAGTAATCATACTAGCTGGGCAATTAACTGCATTTGCAATATAATCGTAATTTAACAAAACGCAATTTACTGGGAATCCCTGTCAGAACTGCTGCCAAATGACCCAGTCCCGGATAAGCGGCAACAATTACAAGTAGGAGTACAGTCCACAGGCTTCAGGAATCTCCTTAGTAGTTAGTAGAATCGCTGAATATCTAATTCAACAGCAAGTAGTAAGGCTTTTTTGTGAGTACTAAGTCAGAAGGTCTGAAGAAATCCATAGATCAGGAGAGGAAAGCTGCTTTATCAGAAAGAGGAATCCTCCATCCTGACAGTGAACATGTTTGCAGCTTCATACTCGAGACTGACTGATTTATGGGGACGATTTTAACGTCTGGCTCATTAATCATCATCGGCCAAAATGTAGCAAATATAAAAATATATAAAAATTATATTTTTTCTGCAAAAAGCAAAAAACAAAAAACTTCTGCTTCTCTTCCCCTTCCTTCCTGTGCACTAAACTCCTCTGTGCCACCTGTCACTACCTGATCTGTCCCAGAAGCACGATCCGTACCATCAGCTCATTTCCATATGCGCAACCAGATATACACCCGGGCTACTCTCGATTTTATTTTGTAAAATCTTAAAAATGTAAATCCCTTTATTGTTTCACAATGGGGAATTTCGTTCTCTGCAAGTAAAAGTAAAAAAAAGACCTGAATTACATTTTTCCTCCCCAAAAATAGTAAGTGATCCAAACTATAAAGTGTTAAAAGTTATTAATGTATTTCCTGAGAAAATAAATACCTTAAAATCCTGTTTTATATCACTTGTTTGTACCAGATCTGCACAGACGCAAACTTTTTGAGTTTTATGTTTTTCCTTTCGAGTTAACCTCATGGTATATAGTGTGTAACATAAAGAAAGAAACAACTAAAATGCAGATTAACGTGGTTTAATTTCTTTTGCCGGACTACTGTGAGCACGTCCAATGATGACGTCAGACAACCAGTTTAATGGAGAAATTCAACCTCTTTCATAAAAATGCTCCAACTTCTGTATTTAGTTGTAATCCTGTTTGGATGTTTTAAAAGCTGCAGCATTGCTACTTAAATCTAGTTTAGTTAAGTGGAGAAGGGAACTTTTCAGCTGCTTTTAAATATGACAAACGTTATTTCTAAGATGTTTTTGTGAATGAGATTGAATCAGATACGACACATCTCCCATTAGCTAGTGTGTTATCATTTTCAGCTATATGCAGTCACTCGTTTCATTCTGTAGAAGTTAAATCTAATTATAAACACAGATTTGAGACAAAATCTAAATAAGTGCCACAAAAAAGTATTGTATTTATAGTCTTATGCTGATCCTGTTCAAATTAAAGTTCTTATGAGAATTTGATTTGGACTATATTTGAACAGTGCATATACACTGTATGTCCATGTTCAGTTTTGGCAGATATCCATTCAATATCAGCCAATATAGTGTTGTTTTTTTTAAAGCCCTAAATATTAATATCGGTATCTGCCTTCAAAATTATCAGTCGGGCTTTACTTCATACTGCAGGCATGCTTCGTCGTCAGGCGGAGGGAAGCTGATAGAGTTAAATACAGGAATATTCAGTGTTTCTTTACAGCTAAAAACATCACTTAACACACCGCCAGAGCTCTTATGAAATGTTTTAAATAAAATATTTGTTAGGTTGCCCAAAGCAAAGTCAAGTGCAATATCTAAACAAGAGCATGCAGTAAAGTTACAAAATGTTCTTAAGCAACATTCTCCATCACATCAAGCTAAGTGGGTGAACGTTTGTCTAAAGCGTCTTAAAATGAGCAAAGCTAATAGAGGAAAGACCCAAAAGGATGTGCAGCTGTAACCACAGCAAGTGAATAAACAGGACAACTTTGAAGTACTTAATTCCTCTGAATGTGCCAATCAAATAATATTCTAACAATAAATATCTAATTTTATGGCTGTGGAATGACAAAAATGCATGCTGTGAATACTTTCGCCAGACTTTCGTTTTCCACTATGCTCACATCTCTAGATGCAAACACTCTAATTCTTTCTATGGATTTCCTAAATATATCCTTTAATTATTTTGCTTCCTGTTTCACCTGCGCGTCTAATCTATGAATGTCCATCATTTTTAAAGGTTCATCGATTTCTACGGATCAAGAAAGAGGCAGGAAAAACCTTCAGTGTTGAATTGTTTTGTAGCTAATGGATTTTACAAGGGGAATAAAAAAAATATTTATAGATGGATTGCATTTTGAAAATGAACAGATAAAGAAGCTCTCCAACAGAAAGTGGTAGAGCTCTTACACATTATTAGTTGAAAACACATTTTTGAAGGGGCAAAAAAAATCACTGTTTTTAAAATAAATGATCTAAAATAGTTCTAATAACATTGGTTTTCCACACAGAAAAATTTGCTCGCTTTTTAAATCATAAAATCCATTAACACGCTCATCAAATTGCCCTCAAACCGAGAAAAGCTGCTTTTTTCTGCTTATTATATAAAAACAGTCCTTGGTCGCAAAGTGGTTATAGAAAAAACGCATAACAATAGTGCAGGTTGGGTTAAAATGATTGTTCAACAGCAGGAAGTTTAGTTTGAGCAACTAAATATGAAGGATTACCTTTTGCATGCCTTGCAGAGCCTGCTGCAGGAAGCTGAGCTGCTGGGAATGAGTGCTGTCCTCCTCACTCCGCACCGGCTGGTTCTTTCCTTGCTCCTGTTTGAGCAGCTCCACCTCGTTCCTGTAGGCGTCCAGCTGGCAGCGCAGGGAGTCGTTCTCCTCCTTTAAGGCTTCTGCTTGGGAAACACCTACGTTTATTAAAGCACAAAGCAATATGAAACATGCTGAGTATTACAGGTCACTAATCGGTTCTCTTATTACAGCTTTAATACACAGATTTTAGTTGGTTTTAATGTTTTCCAATCGCCTGACTCTGTAAATAAGAGCTAAAAACTCCAAAAGTTACAACATTCACAGTGAATACCATTACTCTCTTGTGTGTTTGCAGGTATAGAAGGTGAGAGAATATTTTATGACAGTACACCCTGGGACCCAGAATAACAACACTCTATCTATTTGATAGATGCTTGCTAATAAAAGCATCTCAGCTTATTCCCAAAGTGCAAACAGAGACAGAAAAAGATCTTTGTGTTTATTTATAAAACAGGTTACACTCAGGGGCCAGGAAACGTCTAACAGCTTTCTTCAATCTAATCCTGTGATTTTCATCTCTAAAGACAACATGGTGCAAGTAACAGCTAACAATGCACCTTTCATTGGGATCAGAAGGACGTTCACCAGCTTGAATTAAAAATGCAAAAGACATAGAAAGTAGAAGAATACTTTTAAACAGAATTTATAGTTAATTTGTCAAATACTTTGGGATATGTAAAGATTATGACAGCAAGAAATACAATTTATCCCCATCTAGAGCCCCTGTTTTACATTTTAATCAACTATCGTGTCACTTTATCCTTTTAGGGCCTGTTTACATGACAACACGACTGAAAACTGGACTGTTTTGCCTTTTGCTGTTAACACATCTACATGAGAATGATTTAATTACGATCTTTGCACAGACTAAACTATCAAAAAGGGGATAAATGTTTTAATTTCACTTCCACACCATTAATCGGTACTTTTTTTTCTATAAACCGCATATATGCAACTAATCAATACTTAAAAAGCTACTACACCCACAGGTAGCTAAATTACTCAATTTAGCTAAAGTGGCATTGTCTCAAATGTATACACCAGTAGCTCACTCTGCTTACATATTTACCATGACAACAACACATGCCCAGAGGTACTGTATTTAACTGCATTAAACAAGGCTGCAACTTCCAGCTCAGGTTTAAAAAAAAAAAAGAGAGAAAAAGAGTCCAAGATCCAGTGTTAAAAGCACGGAAATATATGATTCCAGGAGGGAATGGGAAATAAAAGAAGGACAACGGAGAAATGGGAGGAAAGGAGGGGCGCCGGTAGAACGGCAGCAACAGAGTCACTAAGGGTGAAGGCATCAGAGGAGATGTGAAGAAAGGATCAGAGGACCATGGTCCCCAGCTGCTAAGACAGTTTCTTTTTTCTTGAAGACATTTTTGCCTTTGATGCCTCTTTAGTATCGCAGCCTGCTGGGACTATTCTAGTACAGGGGCAGTTCTGTAATCCGTTTATTGAATTCTTGGTTGTTTTTTCACATCTCTTGCTCACCCTTGGGGTTCTGATCCGTGCAAAAAGAATTGGGTGCTAGCACTATCATTTTAGGTTGCTTTGGTGAATATTAATTAGAACATTAGTCAACATTATTAAGCCAATTTCATTGGATTTGTCTTCCTTTCTTTTGACACACTTGGCCACTAATTCACTAATGAATAAGACAGATAAGCTATGTTTACAGAAGCATAAACACCGGACATCTGGATCCTTCACTTGCAAGAAAATATTGTAAGTTAAGTTTTTGACAGCTGTTTACTGTCAATAAAAGCTGTTATACCAACCAAGAATGCAATACCAAACATGGAAAACAACAAGAACTGAAAACATAATGTGCTACACATATAGGACAGGTACTGATGTTTACAAAATCAGCTTGATTCTTTTATGCTGTCCGTGCAAAACCGGGAAATATACCAATGTATGTGGCACCATGAGACCAATTTGACAGCACAAGGACCATGATGTCAAACTGAGGCCAACTTTTCGCTGGAGGCTTTTCTGCTAGCATTCAATGGGGTCATCGGTTTCTCTGTCAGAGAGATGATGAGTCCCAGTACGAGATAATAAGTAATGCATAGAGGAATCCAACATGTACCTGTACCGACTCCAAAAAGGAGATAAGATAATTCAGCATGGTTTAATTGTTGGCTAACATTTCATATTCAGCCAGGGAAATTGGACAATTATGTTGGGGACATTATAATAAGTAATCAGCACAGAAAAGTTTGAGTTTAAAGATGAAACCGCTGTAATGGGTGTTGCAATAATTATATCCAAACCAGGGAGTGGTGCCATAACGCTGCCACAGATGTAAAGGTAGAAGGTGTAAATAGAAGCAGGATGTAAACACTGAACGCAGAGGAAAGAAAAGAGCTGTTTCTTTAGACCGACAACAGAGGAGCAAAATGTTTTCACTGTAAAATCCACAATAGACTGAAGAGAATCTGAACAGAACTGCGTTTCTGAAGTCCCTTTAATGTTAATGTTTTTGTCCAAACATGCATATCAAGGGTATCCAAGCCAACATAGATGTGAGGTCTATGATGGCCCGGAGTTGCCAGTTCCTAGCCCATTGTGTGGATAGGTGTGTCGCGACAGAGGTGACGTAGGGATGGATTCAAACTCACCCAGACTGGTTTCAGGAGTTTGTTCAGAAAACAGAAAATCATATAATTAATCACTAGGTGGTGTTGTCTCAGAGGTCATGATATTGCGACGTCATACTTCCCTAAACACAAGTCTCAAACGTAACACCTTTAAAACTGTGTATCCTTTAAATTACTATGCATCAAAGTAGGGCTGGGTGATGAATTGGGCAGTTTTACCTCGATAACAATAGATGCTTCGGCTCCTCTATCAGAAATAAAGAAATGTGCAGGAAATGCAACTGATCTATTTATTGAATAAATCCAATTACATATTAATTTCAATTAAATATTAAAGTATTTTACCCGTTCAAGTTTAAACATTCAACAATTTCTCATTGAAGAGGAGAAACACGTTTCCTCTCTTTTTTTTCTTTTCCCCACGTTTATTTATGCTTTTACATGTGGCACAATGTACAGATGGAGCAACAGTTATACAGTTAGTAAAGTACCTTTAGCATACAAACATAATTGGGCTAGAACAAACCCAAATAAACCCACATACAAACACACACTCAATACAAAAAAAAAAAAAGAATAGATAAAGAAATAAGCAAATGATCAAATCAAAGCAAGCACAATGAGATACTGGGGACAGATATATATAAAAAATAAATAAATAAAATAAGTTGGTAGAAGTAAAAAGGTCCACAGTATTAAAATTATGTAAATGTTTTCCCTCAGTCCGTACATACGAAAAAAAAAAAAAAAAGAAAAAAAAAAGGAGAAAAGAAAAACTTCTCAGGTGCCAGGAGACCCCACTGTTGATAAATCAGACAGACTTAACTCAAAGAAGAAGACAAAAGAAAAAATAGATAAGAATAATAAACATCAGCTACATACATGCAACTTTATCAGTCTGGAATATTAGGGAAATCAATCTTCCTAAGGGCTTTTAACAAGGGACTCCACAAACCCAAAAATCTTGCGGAGGAGCCTCTTAAGGTAAATCGGATCTTCTCAAGTTTAATAAAATACAATGTGTCTCGAAGCCAGTGGATGTATGATGGGGGTTGAGGCGACTTCCATTTCATTATAATCACTCTCCGAGCCAGAAAGGTCAGGAAAGCCAAGGAGGACCTCTGAAGAGAGGACAAGATGGGCTGTGGAGGTGCAACCCCAAACAACGCAATCAGGGGACAAAGCTCAAATTTTACACCAAAAACATCCGATAGAACAACAAAAACTTTAGACCAATAATTAGAGAGCTGAGGACAGAGCCAGATGGTGTGGATCAAATTGGCTAGGGAATGTTGGCATCTATCACAGGCTGGAGTAACGCTGGGGTAGAACTTGGCTAGACGTGCTTTAGTATAATAAGTGCGATACACAAGTTTGCACTGAATTAGATTATGTCTGGCACAAATAGAGGACTTGTGTACCAATGACAAGATAAGTGTCCAGAGATCCTTGGGAAAATTTGAATAAGTAGAACGGACAAAACTGCGCACTTGTAAATATCTAAAAAACTGACATCGCGGGATATCTCGGAGATTTGTTGGAATGAGGCGAAAGTATTATCAATGTACAGATCGTAAAAGGTTGAAATTCCTTTTCTCCGCCATGACAAGAAAGTATCATCTGCGAGGGACGGCGGGAACGTATGATTCAGGGCTATAGGGGCATAGACAGAAAGAGATTGCAGACCAAAATGCCGCCTAAATTGCCTCCACAGTCTTAAGGATGCATCAACTATTTTATTAGAGGTATAAAGATTAGTTGAAGATTGCAATGGTGAATGTAGTAAGGCTGCCAAGGACACAGGTTTTACAGAATTTGCCTCTATATTAAGCCAAGCCGGAGAGGAAGGGCTATCTGACCGGAGCCAGTATCTAAAAAGTCTAATGTTTGAAGCCCAATAGTAATATCTAAAGTTTGGCAAGGCCATCCCCCCAAGCTTTTTAGGTCTTTGTAAGATTTCAGTGCGTATACGAGAGGCCTTCCCATTCCAAAGAAATTTAATAATTATACTATTAAGTTTATTGAAAAAGGACCGTGAAAGAAAAATAGGTATGCACTGAAATAGGTAGGAAAAACGTGGGAGGATGTTCATTTTGATTAAATTAACCCGAGCAACCAAAGAGAGGCCAAGCATTGACCAACGATCAAAATCTTCCTTAACACGCAATAATAAGGGGGAGAAGTTAGCTTTAAAAAGATCCTTATATTTAGATGTAATCTGGATTCCTAAATAGGTAAAACTCTGATCTATTACCTTAAAAGGTAATGTACGCAGTGGGTAGTTCTTAGCCAAAACATTAACTGGGAATAATTCGCTTTTGCTGAGATTTAATTTATAGCCTGACAGCTTCCCAAATTTGACAAGTGTGGCAAGTATAGCAGGAATAGATGTACTCAAATTTGAAATATACAGGAGAAGATCATCAGCATATAAAGAGACCTTTGTTCCAATACCATTTCTCTTAATACCTATGATACTTGCATTA